TTTTTTTCTAATTGATATATTGACGGCTCGAATAGCACATATAAGCCTAGAACTATTCTAATTATTTTTATGTATATGACTGGTGTAAATGTTTCATTGAAATCAACTCTAGACTATCAGGAATAACCATTTACAACTAGTTGAGTCATATGTTCTTGAATTTTATCATCTTTTCTAGATTTTGTCTTGTTGATCAATTTTAGGTTGATGACTTCTTTACTTGTAGGTAGATTTACTAGCTCCCAAAAATGATTTTTCTCGTGATAATATTTCTTTATTCATTACTTTATAGCAAATTTCTTCTTTTGATGCTTCTTTATAGTTCTAAGGTTCACAAATGAAAAATACAATATCACAAATTTCATAAATTTCTCTTAGAGAATGTAATTTTCTATATGGGATTTTAGAGTCTGAATAGATTTCTTATGATGGTGTAAGGCTTGAACTTTGATCAAATGGAGTTAGAACTTGAAAATTGATAATAAATCATTGTTGTATAAAACTTCCTTCCCAATCCTAGGATGTAAACTCATAAAAAATGATGTTTCATAATATTATGAAATTTTCATCTTTAGATTTACTAGGCAATATCCTTTGGATTGTTCACTATAATTGATAAAACTATAGTTCTCACATTTCTCATTAAATTTTTCTATATGCTGCATAGGAATATGAGAATAGGTAATTCACCTAAAGATTTTAAGAAAATTTTCCTAAGGTTTTCGTTCATGTCATGTTTCATAAGGAGTCTTATTTTGAACTATTTTTGTTGGTGATCAATTGAGCATATATACAAGAGTATAAATAACTTCACCCCCAAAAATTGCTTGTTAGTTCTTTGTTTTTGAGTATATTTTATGCCATTTTTCTATCATGCGGCTCCATTTCGTAGTGGAGTATAACACATAATAAGCTATCATTTTATTCATTATTTAAAATAATAATTCAAGAACTCTATTGACATGAACCACTTTGATCAATCTTTAGAGTTTTCAAATATTTTTTCACTTTTATTCTCATCTTCTACTTTTAACTAAAGAAATTTAGAACGTAATTTTGATTTTTGCTTCAACAGATAAATATATGTCATCTTTGTATGATCATCAATGAATAAAATAAAGTACTAGTTGTTGTTTAAAGTTAGTCTTACCATAGAACTTAGTCTTTCATGATGCTTTTAAAAATGGGAAACGATGCATTTTGCCATAAATGTATCCTTCACAAACTTCTTTCTTATACATGATCTTGGGTCACCTAATAATCATATTTTTATCTTTCAACAATTTTAAACCTTTGTAATTCCAGTGCCCATGGTGTAAATGTGATATATATTACTCATCATGGCATTTGACTCTATAATACACATTTTTCATTTAATAGTAAGAAGAGAGAAAATGTCTTATTACAACTCATTTCCATTTTTACCATTACCATGTTTGTCTTCTTATCTAGGGTTGTGCTTTTATCATTATCAAAAATCGACTTGTATTCTCATTTCAGTAGTTTCTTAATGTTTCATAGTTCTTATACTAGCTTAGGAACAAAATAAACATCAATATAGAGTTACCTCCATTTCCATCAATCTTGACAGTTTTTTCTCAGCTCTTTTGTGCTTTTAACCATCTATAAGTTTAAACTCAAACTTGAATGATTCATCCAGCTGCACGAATGTATCTTTACTCTTTATCATATGATTACTGCATCCACGATTCTCGTACTGGATGTTGTTATTTTCTTGTTGTGCTATCATGCTGGAAACTTACTCCCCGTCGTGGATATTCACTTTTTTTTGAATAACTTACATTGTTTTGTAACTCATTTTTGAGCCAACTATTTTCATAAGAGTGATTAATATTTCTACATTCCAAAAATTTGAATGTGCATTCTCTTATATCATGTTCAAATTTACTGTAAATATGACATTTAAATATAGTATTATCTTTGAACTTTTTTTGATAGGAACTATTTTTTCAGCCTCTTTCTTGAGCTCCAAGATTT